AAAGTTTACGGTATACTACGTATTTGATAATACGTAACCGCTTCTGATATTTTTTGCTAATTAATGCTGATAAACACGATTTTGTGATGGATAATGAAAATTATGTATATAATACTATATTATTGAGATAATGAAATAGTTTTGACATCCAAAAATTGAACTAAAAATATTTTATACGGCTTGAAACACATTGTTGCCTGTGGGCAACGCTATGCATTGTAGGGTTAAAGGGTTCGTCCCGTATTTTAAAATAAAATAAATGTGTTCATAGCTCACTATATGGTATCATTAAAATGTTTAATTCATTAATTTTGGTATTAATCAATAATTGTACAAGACACGACAAAATAGAGCCATTACTTTCCAAATCTTCACAGATAGTCAGATAGACAAATGGAAAAGTTTTAACTGAACTGCTAAACATAGAATAATTCAAAAATTAATTATTCATAATTTCATTTTATTTTGTTTATTATTTAATTTTCATTTATTGTGAATTCACTTTTGAAGTACAATGTATATAGTATAATATTTCTACATTCAGTATTAAAAATAACTACGGTACATTTTTTTTTTTAAGCATGAAAAAAATATACTTCACAAAGTTTAAATGTATTCTCATTATAACCTTTTTAAATATTCTTCCCTAATCAACAACATACCATTAGAATCATTAAATAATTTGACTTATTTACTAATATCTCCATTGCATTTCTTTAAAAACTAAAAACTGTAAATGTAATTTTAAGTGTTTTGGTCTTCCCGTTTTTAATTTTTATATTTTGGTAGATATTTTGAACACATAAGAGTTTTTATTTTTTAAATAAATATATTTTCCCTTGAAATATGATGTTAATATTTTTTTTTTACAATAACAAATATACAAGGTAGCTGTGGATTTAAATATTTTTTTAATTTGCTTAATTTATTTGAAAATCTAGTCTATTTATAATTTATTTTAACCCTGGTGTATTTATTATTTTTACTATCATTTATATTTTATTCTGTGATTTTAATTTGTTCCTAAATGTTTCTTGTCCATAAATATATTCATACATGTTGTACAAAATTTAATTTAAAAAAATTATTTTTTATTTAACCATATATTTTTTAAATTTAAATTTATTTTCTTTTTGTGTGTTTCCATTACATCTCTTATGTTAAAATTCGACTTAAGAGAATTTCTGATATTTGTAGCATACTTTATAGTTAATGCCTGGCCTTTAGTTAGATAATTTTGTAATACATTTTTGTATAGCCAAATTTTCAAAATATTCATTCATTTCAATGATTGACAGATTTTATCCATAAATGGCAAATTAGTAGTGTGTTTTGATAAATTTATAATTAATATACTAATTATTATAGCGTACAACTTATATGATGTTCTTACAAACAATAGAGTATTTATCGTAACAAGGTTGTGCAATATTTTATATTAATTTTTAATTTAAATATTAGATTTACTGTGTTTTTTGGTAATCATATGTATTTAGTTTAATATGACATGTTATTAAAATTTAAGAACTATATCTTTTTATATCAAATAGTTAATAATATTATAAGTAGGATATTTTAATTGGATCTTAAGAAGTTAATAATGTTAAATATAGTAAGTGATTAATAAATAATTAAACAATGTGAATAACTTATTAACATGATCATATTTTTTTTTTACATTTATAATAAATCTAAAATTATATTACTATTTACTTTTAATATAAGCGATTTTTATTCAATTTTTTTTTTTATATGTATAAATTGACTGCTATGATGAGGATATGAACTAATATAACATTCCATAAAACAAGCAATATTTTTTACCAATTTTATAAGTGAATATAATTATTTATTTTAATTATGGTGTATATGGAGAATACATAAATTAAATTGTTGTATGCCAAGAAATTTTGTATTTTATTTATTTCTATCGTTACTATTTATTAAACAAAGTTGCTCAAATATTGAACGTTTTACTGATGTTTAATAGTAAATTCAACAAATACGTTCGATCCATTTCATAATCATTGTATAAAATGACTAAGAATTTTAATTCTGTGGATCTGCGTATATTATAAAAGCAAATGAGCAATTAGGTATTTTCCAACAAAAAGCAATAAATTTATTTATTTAATTTAAAAAATGTCTAATGTTCTGGTTCCTATTTCTCGCTAAAACTAATACAAATATACAATATTAATACTTTTAAAATGAAAACATGCACTTTTGATCTGGGATATGTTTTACTATATTTTGATATCTAATTACTACCATTATTCTAATTTAAGAATTGAGATCATTACTCATTACAAAATATTAATGACCTATTAAGATGATGTCAGCGCAATATTTGTTTTCCATCTCAGACTAACAAGCAACATGATTTAAGAATAAAAAACTTTCATTCTAAAATCATTTTTTTACGACTTTTGAGTAATCATAGAGTAAAATCACCTGTAATAAAAATAACTAAGGATAATTATTTTTGAGGTTATGACATATCGGTTTTATATTTTGTTATTATTTAACTATGGACTCTACTTTCTAAAAATATGAAAAAAATAATTTAAATTTAAATGTTGATACCTATTTGATTATTTGCAACAAATTAATATGTCATACCCTCTAAAATATTATTCTATTTTGTAATCAGTGATTTTATTCTAAGACTATTCAAAAACTTAACTGTGTACTGACTTCCTCTTAATCATACTGATTATCGGTATTATTCTTTATTTTTAAGTATCTATAAATTATAAACGTTGTATTATCGAAACCAATTCGTGTTTCATCGKGAGGGGGAAATATAAAAAATATTTGACACCACCACTCACATAATTATGTTGTTACTTCAACTATCATGAAGGTCACCCTAATTATATAGGGATGAACCGCCCCATAAAAATACATGTTCAGTACCACTGGTAGACACTAACACAATATCGTGTATAATCGAATTATAATAATGAAATGCAAATTCTCTTTTTAATATATTATTGTTTTATACCAATTAAAATACACAACAATCCATATGCCGATGAAATTAGTCTGTGGGACAAATTATTAAAATATGCCGACCTTAATTTTTTATTTTATGTTGATCCTCAAAAATTTGCCATGTCCCGTTCAATGCAGCTCTGAGTACATATTATTATAGTAATCGCCAATATACGCTTCGATTTTAATTACAAATTCAAATTATACTTAAGAGTTTATTGTGTCATTACACATGATATGTGAAATTAGGTAGCTGAAGTATTGCGTGATATTCAATTGACATTCGACAGTATAATTAGAGAAGCGAATATATATGAATAATGTTGAATAATATAATAAGTCATATTATTTATTACATAAATGATATATTACTAGTGCCTAGTTATATATTATACTATGGGACCGTAGATAATTTTATTGTGTTAATTATGCTCGCATACTTTCAGGACCTTAGCAATTTGTTTTTGTTTTATCATAAACTTGGTCGTCCAATAACTTATTTAAGATAAAATGATGAGTAGAATTTTTATTTTTCAATGAACACTGAACAGAAATATGTAAAGTAGCCACTCACGTAATTTTGTAATAACTATAAGAAACAATGTAGTTTTATTTGACAATATTAATTTCAGTACATTTCTTATTACATTTAAGCATCATATTATGTACTGTATATTTTATGAGTCAACCAATTCTGAATAAATTTAAAAAATATATATATTCATACAATTTGATGTTAAAAATCATTTTTTTAATATTTTAAGAAAAAAATACACAAATCATTAAGAATCAATTTCAATTTTTTTCATAGCGTTAGACAAAGAGTCGCTACTTGGTATATCATCATCAGCACACAACAATGTGAAGTGTGATAAGTCTTTTTTCATTGCATATGCATCTTCACCATCAGCATAATATTTTGGTTCAATCTCAGATATAGTAAATTTCAATGTATTGGTATATAAATTCAATGCAGCTCTGTTGCTTTTTCGCACATGCAAAGATACATATTTGGCCTGAAAACATTCGACCATCGCTCTAGCTGCTTGATCCATCAATTTTTGTGCAAGTCCCAATCGTCTATGTGACCGTTTGACAGCAAGTGATGTTATATGCCCATGGGGATTATCCTCACAATCTTCTTCCATTTTTGCCAAAACATAACCTACAATGTTTCCTTTTTCATCTTCTCCCACATAACTTAACTGTGGCCATGACAAACCATGGTAGAAATAGTACTTCATTTGATAATTTTCAGGAAGACAGAGCAGATTACAGTGCTGCATATTCATCAAGTCATCCGGTTTAGCACAACGAATATTCATATTTCGGCAGTTGAGTTACTTAAAAAGTCTTTATTGAGTCTTATTAGAATTATTAACTTCGGGTGTTTGCTGAGAGAGAAGTTCCCGTACTAGTTTAAATTTTGACAAGTATAACTTCCAAACCAAACACCAACCTATAAAAGTAAATATAAATAGATATAAATATTAGTTTTAGGTAAATTAATATAATGGCATGTCAAAACTTTTTTCAAAATATATTAATTATTTATAAAAATGTTATATTAGGAACACGACTCATTCTTTGTGAGTAATATTCTCTATTTTTCTTAACAATAATTCAGATTATAAGACAAAACATGATATTTATATTTAATTACCTAATTGAAAAAAAAAACAATGTGCATTTTCTAAAAAAATATTGTCACTTCTCTATCAAAATAGGAAGATATAATATAATGATAATTATAATAAAACAATATAATATAACATAGGTACATTATAAAATAATTTTTTTATAAAGGTCAAATCATAACAAAATTGTATTTTTAAAGATTTCTTGTATCATTGTTTTTTCAATGTAAATATTAACGTATTAATTTTTTTTTTTTATTGTATGTTTGTTTAGGGCTCTAAAGAATGCTTTTATACAGGTAATGTCATCATTTTTTTTAAAGTTTTGAGGCTATAAATAAACTGATCAATATTTTGGTTGATCGGGTCGAGAGTAGAGGGCTGAAGATATTTGGTCCGGAAAGTTGAATTTTATATAAAGATNAGATTTCTTGTATCATTGTTTTTTCAATGTAAATATTAACGTATTAATTTTTTTTTTTTATTGTATGTTTGTTTAGGGCTCTAAAGAATGCTTTTTTTGATCTTACTTAACAAATAACACAAAACCAATAACCAGATATTGAAATTAACTAAATTCAACTAAGTTCTACTACTTAAATGCAAGATTCAAACGTTTGAAGTACTTTTTTTTAAGTCATAAGATATTTATTTGATCTGATTCTAACGCCATTGTGAATAATGGCATTGCCTAAACAAAGCAGTCATGTGTTTGTAGCTGAATTGCGAAAGACAAAAGATGTAGACATTGCTTACCAATGAGTATGAAAAAAATGACGACGATGAAAGATGCGGCTACTGAAGCTAAGATAAACAACCACTCCATAACATAATTTTATAAACTTAAGTAATTTATCTTCACTTCAGCAATGAAGATGGTTCAGTACTTGGCCAAAATTATTATTCAACTATGGAAGTATGGATATGGACACTATATAAACTCTAATTCACCACTTCTTATCATATTAACGTGTTCTTATCAGACATCTAAGACAATAAATTAACAGTCTGATCATCGTGTGGCCTATAATAATAAAAGTTTCATCAATCTGATACATCGCCAGTGCGTCCAGTACAGATATATTTAATTATATAACTCAGAAGTGGATGAACTTTTGGAGTTTGAACCAGGATGACGTATGGAACAAACTAAGGAGGAAGAAGCTTATATTTTTAGCTAGTGGTTAATACTTGATTGAAGTCTTGTACTTTGTTTAAACAAGTATACTAATGTTTATTTTAACTTTTAAGTTCATTAGCTATCGAGTATTAATACCTAATCATATTTCGTATTAATAATTATTAAGTTCAAAATAAAACTAGGTACAGTCTGAAACTTATTAAAGTTGTTGATCCCTAAGAAAACGCCACACCTGCATGTGCTGTCTCCGTCTTACAAGTGCGTAACATGTCAAATTTAGTTCCGTAGTTTTAAAAATTAAAGTGAAATGTGAATTGACCTCTTTTTTAAATTTTATAGTGAGTAGTGAGAACATGGTTATCTGTGTTCGTGTAGGTTTGTTGGGTTTTTATGATAGTTCAGTTTTTAAGTTTGTTATGAGCATTTTTAATTTATGCTATATTATTATGTACGCAAAACTATTCTGTGGTCTCATTAAATTAGATTATGCCTATTTTCATGAATTATTTGTTAAATTATTTACATTTTTTATTTAAACAAAATTATTTAAAAAAATAACAAAATCGTGTACTTAACTTTGAATAGTTATCGACAATTTTAAATCGGATTAATAGTAATTAGTACCTTTATTAGGTAATTTCATTAATGCTACATTCTACTTTGCTACTCATATGAAAAGTTTGCACTTTTAATGAATTTGAATAGCTAACTGAAATGGAATAAAATAATAATAAAAATTTAAAATTCTAATAATATATTTTTGAAATGAGTGGAAGGATTATACACTTATAAAGTTATAATGAGTCAGTGACATGGCAAAGAGTAATTGCCTCTGGGATTTTTCAAATATTGGGGGGTGGGTATCAAAGATTGTACTTATTTACATGCAAATACATGTGTGGTGGGTCATCTATTTGGGGGTTGCCTCTGGAATATTTTTAGGTCGCCACGCCACTGAACGTAGGTATGTCTTATCCGCTAAATAGGTAGTTATCAATCGGTGAAAACATAGATATAAATTTATAAATATGAATACAATCGAGTCGCGATAACTGGAAAAACTTGACAACTCTTAATTCTCATTAGAATTTCAAGTTGAGTATTTCGAATCGATTTAATACCCTCCTTCATTTTCGAGTTATTTCGACGACTGTATTATTAATAAAATCATGATTGCTGACAAGTGTTGTAAAATATATTTATATAAATGTATACGAAAGTATGGTCATAATGAAATATTTCGTCATGCATCCGGCATTCTTATAATCTTATGTACTTATGATGTTTGTTCGTTATTCGCACACTATAATGATTATTATACACCACGGTTGAAAATATACTTCAAGTATTTTATTCTAGTGTACTTCAATTGATAGTATCTTCTTCTTCGACTCCTTATTTTATATTCTATTGTAAGCCGCAATACGCTTTAGTATGCATACAACCAGGAATTTTGGACAAAAAAAGCTCCTTACCAACACAAATGGCAATGCTCTAAATATTTCCAATTTACAATAATTTAATTACTGATAATTTAATTTGTCAATCAACAAGTATGATGTAAAACACTGAAACTGTTTTCAACATAATGCAATGCGAATGTCCTAAATGAGTTTAGTCGGACCCAGTAGCCACCACTTTTAACTACACATGTCATGTATCTATAAGACTATAATAATAGATTTTAGTACAGATGTGCATAATTGAGTTTAATAGAATCAAACAGCTGGATTTTTCCATATACGAACAAAGCCATTTGAAAGGTGGTACTACTGGTACTTGAGGGTTTGAACTTTTGCTTAAATCAATATTTTACAACTTTAAAAATGATGGTACCAATTAATGCAAATTTAAATTATACAAGGTGTAATATAAAATAGTCTATTTGTGAATCTGATTATAAGAACAATTTTGATGGTGAAGTGATTACACCCTTTGATGCTACATTAATAATTGACTGTATTATAATGCTATTGTTACAAAAATTAAAATACTTATAGCTAGTCTTTATGTTTGATTTTTTTACGTTAGCATAATAATTCAGACCAACTGGCCAAGTATTGATGTCAAAGAGAATATTTCAAGTAACTCAACAACGATGTTACCACAGAACTTGTTGACCTTGTAATGTTATCATTATATTTAAAAACCTTTATTTGTAGTTTTTTTACTATTTGTCTATATCCAGTATAATATTTCAATACATATAAGACTAAACGTTAACTTTTAAATATTTTCTTTCACTGCATAAATTAATCGTTAAATACTTAAATACTCAAAATGAAACAATTTATTAAAACACATCACATACAATATAGAATATATACACTTTTGGTGTAGGCCAAAACAGGAATTTAAAAATGTTAATGTTTTGGAATACATTCTAAAACAGATAAATTGAAGAAATATTATATAAATATTATATTGTATTATGCTTAGCTATATTAAACAATTTGTACATAAATTAAGTGCTAACACCAATTTATTAGCAACATTATAAATTAGTTTTAAATGTTTATTAAATACCAAGTACCCACTCAAAGATCATAATCTATTACAAAATGTGAATCAACAAATACAACTCGAAACTGTTACGGACGGTCTAATATATATGAAACATTTTTATTTTTTTAATAAGAAAATCGTAACTTAGCATCATATCCAAGTTTATCAAGATTTGGAATACATGCAAAATTTATCATTGGAGGAGGCCCACACATCAATACTAATGTATCTTGAGCTGGAGGATATAAATGTTCTGATATCATGTCTGATGATATAAATCCAGCACTGTACTTCCATCCTAGAATATAGATATATATATATTTTGTTAAAACAAAGCAATGGATATAAAACTTATACTCTGTTCAGCGATAGAACAAGCCATACCCTGATAATAATCAGTTTATCAGCTCAAATACCAGTTATAATGGTTTCCATAACAAGGTGTTGAGAGAGGATGCCCAAAATACACGTCATGTTTTATCGCTCAATAGAGTATAATATGAGTGTAAGAAATTATTTACCATCAGTAGGCCTATCAACTGTATACCACACTTTAATCTGATTTGGATGATTCTGAACGGCTTCTTCTAATTCATCTCTTAATAATATATCTTCTTCAGTCTGATTGGCAAAAAGTAATGACAATTTGGTTTCATCTTTAGGATCTCTAGTGACTTGTCTAATCAACTGCAACATAGGTGTAATTCCAGTACCACCTGACATACCCAGTGAGAATAAATTAATATTGTAACACAATAATAGTTATTTATTAAATATTAACATTAGTAAATTTACCAGCAATCATTGATATTTTTTTAGCGTAAAGATTATGGGAAGGATCTTTTCTTTTAACAGCTTTAATTTCAAAATCTCCACGACCATGATAAATGAGACGGCCTGAAGGTCCTCGAACATCAATAGTATCTCCAATTTCCATTTTTTCAAGATATTGCGTTAATTTACCACCATCAGGGAACTTGGGATTTTGGTCTCTGAAATAAACCTAAAAAAAATTTTAATTATGCGTAACGTGTTTGAAATTATTTAAAACAATTTACTTTAATAACTAAATCCATATATCCAACATCATTGTCACTGCTCACAGGTGTATAAGCACGAGCAACTAATTCCTCGTTTATTCTTGCTGATAAATGTATATGTTGCCCTATTGGTAAACCTGTACATATTTTTTTTTTAGAAAATCATTAATAAAAATGATAAATACTGTATGCATATATTATCATATTAAATCTGTATATTACTACACAAATGATAAATATGTATATTAGATTATTTCATATGAAACCAAAACAAATTCTGTAGTATAACTAATGATTAAATTGTGAATAAATTATAAAATGTATTGAACACTTTTATTTAACTATCATAATATAATGAAAATGTTAGAACAAATTGTATCTACAAATTTAAAGTATGCAACGAAATTACCAAGGATATGATTTTTGGATGGCAATTCAAATCTAAATCTCCGTGTGTCATGACTAATTACATGTTTTTGAATAAGTGGCAATGGTATCTTTGTGTTTGAATCCACTAATGTTCTTTTTTTTTGGCTTTTCTTTTGGAAATTGGCTACAAATGCTGATATCGCAAAACCAGTAGTTACAACAATCCCAAGTCCGACCAACACAGAAGAAACACTCTAAAAGATTAGCAATAGTAAGCAATGTATTGAAATAAAAATATTTATTTCAAGATAAACAGAAATAATAAAAATAATTTAAATTCAAAACGAAATAAAATTAAAATTTTTTACCGAAAATGTAGATAAAAAATTTCTGACAGAAAATGAACTCATTTTTTATATAAGATATTACAAATTTACAAATTAATAAAATTTTAAAAACGTGTAACTAACAAAAAAATTAAAAACTAGTAATTACTAAATGTGTTAAATTAGTCAATTAACGCATTATTGCCATAAATTATGAAATTAAATATTATGTTATCAATTGTGATTATACAAAAATCAAAAGTAAAAGTTGTTGAAGGTTATGTTTATCTTCATGGAAGAATCACACAAGGTCAAGATTTTTTAAAAGGGGGCACATTTGAAAATAATAGGTTTTTCAAAAATAATAAATTGAATATTCTAATAATAGGTAGATCAAAGATAGGTACTGTCACTACCGTACTATTTTTACTAGTGTAATTATTATTTATTATTATTTGTTGTTCAACAAGTATTGTTCATAATCTAAATTTTCTGTATAAATATTATTTTATAAGATAGAAGATCAATAAAAATGCTGAATATAAATCATAATATTTAAATAAAAGGAAGATTGTATAAGAATAATTCAGTTGAAATAAGAATACTTCCAAATTAATAGTTACCAAACTTGTTGAAAATTAAACATCCTGGTAAAATAATAACTTTTATATAATTTTTTTTACATAATTAGATTTGTATTATGTACTAAATACTTACAAGCTCTTCAATAATGCCCATTGTGACTTATTGACGTAGATTTGAAATATTATACTCTATAATAATACAAATATATTAAGAATAAATTAAGAGTTTTTAATTTAGGCCTAATAAAAAAAAAAAGGTATTAATCATAATCTGTAAATAACATAATAATTATATAAATAATTTTCGATAATTAATAAAATCACACTAGACAAGTGATTACACATATTATATTAAATATATGTAATTCACTTAGAATTTCAAATTTATTAGTTACCTATATGTTTAAACCGAACATTATCTATACAATATAGGTAATATTAAAATTTAAAATTTATAAATTATAGGTATTTTATATGATATATTTTACAAAATGATGATTATTATCAATAGATAATTTATTAAAACTACCTAATTATCAGAGTAATAAATTGAATGAATCACTAATCTATATATATATATATATATATATATATATATTTAATAACCTACACCGTACACACAATACACAAACGTATTAGGTAAATAGGTACCTACTGATAACCTAACAATTATGTATTAAACAACATTAAATGGGAAATAATTCATATTAAAAAAGTGGCTTTTAAAGTGTTTTACACATAATAATTAAAGACTTATGACCTTGAAGTATAAAATATATTTTTGCAAGATAAGAGTTAAGCACAAATTTGTACTCATTATATTTGTAACCTAATAAAGTAATAATGTACACATTAACATCTATTTTAAAGTGTAATTTCAAATATTTAAATAGAAAATTAATATGATTGTTAATGTATGCATTCAAACTAACATTCATTATATATTAATTGATTCATAATATTTAGCGATTAATGAAATAAATTATTTGTTATGTGTTTTACTATTTTTTTTATAGCCATCACACATTTGTATTGCAAAATGTCATCAAATAACACAAACACAAAAATTAATTTACTATAAAATATAATGCTTAAATGGATCAATTGGTACAAATTGCATTTGATACTATATAGCTAATTGAAAGTAGAAACTGTTTACTAATATCATAATAATCATTTAACTAATTATTATTTTGTTAATCTGTAATGAACAGTAAAGTTACTAAAGTACAATTAAATTTAAAAAAACCTAGGCCTCCACACTAGTTTTCTCAGTGGGGGTGACCAGTTTTATTAAATTAATTTTAATTAAAAAAAAACAAAAGTAATTTTTCGTTTGATTGTTCCTAAATAGTTAATACATACCTTTGAACACACTAGGTAACCTAATAATGTTCGAAAAGAGTTTATCAATAATCAATTTTTAAAAATTAGGTAGGTATAACTTTGAGTAGGATTAAATTGCAAGTACCTATACAATCGCATCGACACCACGGCTCACTCAATTGTGTGGGCTGTGATGCAGTATAAATAATATAATGAATCGTAAAACTTGTAAAAATATAATATGATTACCTACCTTAATTGTGCGCGTAGTTCAAGGTTGATCGAATCAAAATTATTAAATAATTATACGGAACGGTGTACAATATTGTGGTTGTAAAAAAAAAAACCAAATCGATAAGATAATAAAATAAAAATATGATATTATAATAACGCGCACCGCTGGTTCGGCGAACTACATTTTATTCAGACTAGTATGACACGAGGTTCGTTAAAACGGAACTAAACTACGCCAAATTTGAAACGGAATATTATATTAACGACTGATCACATGCGTTTAAAAAATGGTACGTCAACGGCAAACGCACGGGAAATTGGTGGGCTTCCAGAAATTCAGATTTTTAACCGGTCCGCCTAGTGCCCTAGTGTAATACTATCGGCTGAAAGATATTCTGTAGGACAAGTAAAACAGCTGTTGTAATCGAGTCGTCGAGGTGTGCGTTTGCGTCCCGGCAAAATAAAATCGAATGAAATATTCGTTAATCGTTATTAAACTACTGTCATGATATTAATAATACGACGTTGATGTGTTATGTTTCATAGACGTTTGAATATCTTTCGATCATCGTTCGTTGAAAGCCGATGGTCGCGAGTCCAACACTTAGATCTCTCGCTTTTAAGTTTTTAATTCGCCGAAGTTTTCGTAAATATATTTTTGGCTGCGTTTGGCGCCATAACCTTAAAATAACACAAGCGATCGCATTATCGTGAATACAAATCACAAATCAAAACACTCTCCCAGTTATTTGTTTAAAGTGCGCCAAATAAAAATAAAAGTGAAAACCGAATTACTGAAAAATGAACAAAATCGTCTGTATACACTAATTTGTATGCAAATAACAAGCCGATGCCGTCACAACAACACAAACGCATTGTATTATATTGGTAAATATTGAATGACAATTGTTGTTTTAATTTGGAAAACATACTGTTGTACTTAATAAATATCTTAAGTTATTTTAACACTCAGTGAATTGCACATTTTCTTATTTGAATTTAATTACTTGACAATATAAATGTAGTTTATTTCTGTATTCTGTTATCTGTGTTGCAGTTGAACGTCGTTGTTTAAGGTTGACCAAACGAATCCTAGGTATTCAGTAATAAGCACATACAATATAAAAAGGAAAATGTTGAACTCAAAGGTAAAACAATTTAAAACTAATTTTTCGTGAAATTATGAATTTTGCTTTTTGTAATGAAATCCAATGTAAAATATACTCCAGTAGTCAAGAGCTTAGTTCCTTAATGTATGAACATATAAAATGGGCTTTGGATTAATTTCCATAATACATAACAGGTACAGCAATATTAACAGTTTTAATGCATTGTAAATTCAAATTTAGTTTTAAAAATTAGCATATACATCTATTGTTTGTTCATTGGTAAAAATAGTTGTTACTTGCTAATAATGTATGCTTTACAATAGTAATTAAATGTTTTTATTTTTTGATAAGCATGTGGTGTAATTTTGTTAAGTGTATTAAAGGTTTTTATAACCTAGGTTAGGTTAAATTCTTCTATATTAAGTTTTCATTATTATACCTAGAACATGTAGATGTGATTTACATTCATAAGTGTATTATAATATATATACCGTTATTAATAAGTCCTTTGTTAAATTGATTTTTTTTAAATATTTTTTCTTAAATATGGATTTAGTATTTACCGTATTCATATCAATTGAAATAATTATAATTATGTGCATTAATATGCATTACATTTTTTCAATAACTTATTTTTAAATGTTTTTAAAAACCTATTTTATTTGTAACCTAATTTTAATTTTTCAGATTTTATCTAGCATTTTGAGGACTACTAAGTATTCAAAGCAACTATTTCGCAATAATTACACACAAGAAGCACCACTGCCCGTAAAAATTGAAAAAAGTTGGTTTACCCTTAAATTTTAATCAAATATTTATTTGTTATTCACATATAATGCTATATTACTTATGTGACTAATAATTTATTACATAAATATTTACTCATATTGAAATTTATTTAAATAGCGATAAATAAAGTCACACTTTTGGGACGAGTTGGTGCAGACCCGCAAAAACGAGGGACAGAAGAACATCCAGTTGTTGTATTTTCATTGGCTACACACCAAAATTATATCAACAATAATGAAGGCAATACATTTAGTTTATGTTATATATTTCATCATCTCTAACATTATGTTTATAACTGTTTTTAGAAAGCACACAAAAGACTGACTGGCACCGTATAGTTGTATTTAGACCTGGATTGCGTGATACTGTGTATAATTACCTACAAAAAGGACAACGTGTACACATTAGTGGGAGATTAATTTATGGCGAATTGAAAGACGAATCTGGTACTTCTCGAACAACTACATCAATTGCTGCTGATGATATTATATTTTTTAATTCAAAAAATTAAACTATTTAATTTATCTAAATTTAATTTAATTTATGTTTGTTTAGTCTATAGAAAACATACTCATTGTGTTGTCTATAATTAAAATTCCTATAAGGATTATTTTTTTTTTACGAGTGAAATATAGTTTTTTTACATATTATAAAATTGATTGTTAAGAAGAAGAAAGTTCAAATTATGTTAGTTTTTATGTGGCATTTTTTCCATGACTAACAACTAAAATGTAATGTTGAAAATAGAATATTATTTGTTGCACTAAACATTTACATGATATTGTTTCTGCTATTCATACTATGTTATACCATGGTGCTATGTAATATGATAATATAATGATATAAGTATAATAATATAATTAATAAATATTAAAATGTGCAGCATTTTGTTATATATATATGGCATTTAATTTATCTCATTCTTATATTATCAAAAAATACATTAGTATATTAGATATAATTCATTATTGTAATGTATATATGTCTATGGTACCTAAGTAATTAATATACCACCTTACATAACATTTTTAGTGTATAAATAAATACAATATTTAGGCAATGTAATATGTGTTAATTATCCAACAGTTTTAATAGCTTCAAAAACGTATAAACTACTTGATTTTTAAATTTTTATTATTGATTAATTTAGTACTTTTCCAGTTTTGATCCAATGACACCATGGGGACTGCTTTGCATTTCTTCTGCGGCTCAAAAATTAAACTAATTATAGTGCTTTTGAATGACTTAATTTTATCAAACTAGTTCATGATTAGGTATATTAATTAATTTATCATATATAATCCAAATCCATAATATGCTACATAGTCAGATGCATAGGTACTGTGTATCCAAACAAAAAATTTTAAATTGTACAAAATTGCTTAATACTCAAATACTTTTTTTTTTTTTTATTATTAGAAATAAGCCTTGGCTGCGGAGGCCATTGGCTGACATAGTTTACATTGTTAATTATAATTGTTGTATACACTATTTACATTATTTACAAAAACATTACACATATTACACATATTACAACATAATAGATTWTAGATTATTAATTAGGTTGGTCTTGATTAAAAAGGACATCATGCGGCTAATGTTGTCTGGGTGGAGGGCTTCCGACATAATATTTGATACTCCAGCTTCTCGTCTGTCCGATTCGAAGGAACGGCATTCAGATACGATGTGTTTGATAGATAGAAGTGTACCACAACTGGCGCAAATGGGTGGGTCTTCACTCTTCTTCCTTCATCAAGTACTGGTGAGTTAGCTGCGTGTGTCCTATGCGCATTCTATTTATGGAGACTTCCATCTTTCTTGATAATTCAGGTGGGGAATGCCATGTGTGAATGGTACTCAAATACTTATAATTATGTTGAATATGTAAATATAAACGCAAACATTTAAAATAAATAAATTAGTGTATATCATTGATTAATTCATCTTAAATTTACAGATAACATTTTTAATTTCTAAAATCAGCATAGAAATTTACAATTCAATTAAAAACCAAACAAAATTCAACTAATTCATTTATTACAATTTTTAACCCTCCTCCCATAAATGTTGATTTTTCTAACAATTTTAGAAATTAAGTGAAAGATTTTAAATTAAAAATTTTTTTTTTTTCAAAGTTTATTAAGGCTTCAACAACACAGGTTTTTAGCCTACWTTARTYAAAATTTATACAAGAAAAAGAAAGGAAAATATATATATGTATACATTAAATTTTGGAATAAATTAAAAATTATAATATTAAATAAGTGATGTAAAACTTATAAATTTGTCAATTAACAAGTTAAAATTGGTTCGAGAAAATGTAAAAGCTATGTGGTAGAAAAAATTGTGTTAGCAGACTGCATATTGACAGTAGAAAATTACACGGTAGGTAGGTATTACCACTTACCGATATACCTCAGTACCTACCTAGGTACACTTTAAGCGATTGTTACCGGTCATGGTACATATACCTATGGGCTTTATGAAGCTGTTTTTATGACATTGATCTTTTTTAGTAGAATTAGTGATGGATAATCCAAAACTCATGCATTTAAGAATTCTACTAATATGCTCGAAAGCCGATTCAAAGATTGTGAAGATTGGTATGTATTCGTTTTTTTGATTTATATTGATTTTATCATCAAAAAAATTATCAGTGTTTGTTGCAAATCATAATTGTAGCCATGGTGGGTATTTTACCTATAAGTACCTATTCGATTTTAAGATTATTTTATACTTGTAATTTGTATAGGTACATGTTAACATGCTATGTAGTAATAAATTAGTAATATATGTAGGTCTGTGACCAAAGGCAATATCATTTAAATGATTTCGTGAACCAAAAATAATTTATGTGTGATCCACTCCCCATAGATAATATGTAATATAGTATAGCGG